TCCCCCCCAAAAAATCCCATCAAACCAGCGACAGTAGCGCCACCTGGGGTGTTGACGGTCCAGGATCGGGTTTTCCCGCCGGAACTGTTCCTCGGCCTCCTTGTCGTGCAATTTCTCCGGGACACTCTGTGGCCGTGGCTCCTCCCCCTGCGCCGTGTGGGCGTGGCCTGAGCTTGGCTGAGTGACGGCGCGACAGGTTGACTCACACTCAGACATGTTGGTGGCTCAGAATGTGGGCTAGGTCTCTGCGGAGTTGAGTGACAAACGTCTAACCAGAACTAAATTGGCCTTTTGTTTCATTATAGCGAAGCACATCCACACAACAAAAATAATTAGTTTTTATTTTAGTAAGAGTTTTATGGCACCTGCATCATAAATAGGTCGTATAAGTAGCCTAAGGAAGACTAGAATTATTAATATAATTATTATAAAGAAACATAGAAAGAAAAGAAAGTAGAAGGATAAGAACGATAAATATATATCTAGGGAAAACGGAGCAAACCACACCGAGGCCCCCGCCAACTACACGCTATCGCTCACGTAGTGCAGGGGATTGTTAAGACAGACAAAACAAAACAGATAGAAAAAAAACACAACGTAACAGAAAAGTAGAACATTCCCATGTTGTCCTCACACCACATGCATCCCTCACATTATACGGACGATTTTGCTCACTAAACAACTTTCTAACTTTTGGACAAGCATAAGGAATATAGGGGGCTTGGGCATTTTCTGAAAACAAGATAGATAATACAGAATAGGGAAAAGATAAATCTAGTCTAGGAATAATCACACTGATCTCCGGCAATTGATGTGTAGCGACTTAGGAAAACCTTGTTACTTGTCGGGAAAATGCGTTCTCTTAGATAATGGCATTTTCTGTATCTCCAGCGTTTGAAGATTGTCAGAGATGTCTTTCCTTCTCTTTTTTTTAACCTCCCTACTTTACTCTATCTCCTGATTTATAAAAAGTACGGCTTCTAGGTTCGACAGTTCACATCAATAAGAACAAAACATGATTCTCATTCTATTCCTACTAGATCTAGATCTACTTAACTTCTTTTTTTGTAAGACAAGTTCATTCCTTCATCTTTCTTAAAGGCGAAACCTGCCTTGTTAGCAGTACAAATTAACCCCTAGAACGGACAATGGAAACGTTTCTCATTACAGGCTAATTAATATTACACAGGAGATTTTTTTTTAAACTCCTTTCCATCTTACCACTCAGAGACAAAGAAGAATCTCTTTGCAAAAGAAGTGAGATCACACGGGAAGTGGCGTAACTTCCTGTTGCATAAAAAGTGAGTCTTTTCTTGAGACTGATCGTTTCGAACTTAGAACTATTCAACCGCTGTACAATAATCAAGAATAGGCATAAGATTTTCATAAAATAGTTCCATAGTTTTTGAGCACTTGAAAAGAATAATACGCTATCCCATACTGAAACTGACTTGCAAATGCTTTGCACTCAATAGAACTAAAAATAAAATACATTATATTAGTATACACGTACCACCAGATGGTTCAGTCCTCTCTTTCGAATAAGAAAAAAGGACTCAAAAACGAAGCTTATCTAATATGCATAGTGGAAGAAATAAAACAACGGTGTACCACACAAACATTATAGCACATTGCAAGATGTTGAACTAAAAAATGTTAGGACAAAGTGAAGAAGCACCTACTAGCAATGACAAAATGTATTGTTTCGCAGTTAAGTTCTAGAACAATTGGGTTTTTTTAAATTACAGCTCTTTATATACAAGGTGCAAGCCACTCCTTAAAAAATATACTCA